AGATAGAAGTAAGATTAGTAGCGATCAAAAGCGCTTTTTTATCGCATTAAGCCTATACCCCCTTTCATTTTTCGCGAACACTCCCTTTAAATATCTAATTAAAGTCATATTGGTATAATAATAAGATGAGAGAACAATTTTAACGGGTATTTCAGGTCATTTATTCAATTCTGTTTTCGTTTTATCTTTTATCCCTTAATTCTTGAATTTCCTTAGGTGGGGGGGGGGCGCCCCCTTCCCCTTCAGGAACTCAGGTGTGGGCCCGGGGGCCCAGGCTCCCCCACTAATACGCCCCTGCACAATTCGTTTATGTCTCAAATAAAAAATTAGCTACTTGCCCCATTTGCCCACCATTTTTTTTGGCATTTTTTAAACCTCCCTAGCACAGCATCCTAGGGTTTCCCGTCTTGCTTTTGTACTTTCTATTTTTCACATTTTGGATCCCTAACTAAATATTATGAAGAATGTTTACAAATCCCTGAACAAAATAGTCATTTGCTTGAATGGTATATTTTTATTTTATTCTTGTTAAAAACTGTAAACTTGTAAATTGTAAAATCAATGAACTTCTAGTAATCCCTAGTAATCTTTATTTCCTCAAATATAGAAAAAAGAAATATTCCAAAATATTCAGTTTAAGGTTCAGGTTCAGAATTTGTTTAATATTTGCATCTAATGCATTAACGTTGTTTAAATTCTACTTCTTCATATCAAAATGTCATACTTAATAAATACGGAATAATGTCATAATGTAATAATTCATAATACTGAATAATGTCATAATTAATAAATACTAAATCCATGTCATAAATAATAAATAATAAAGCCACGCAATAACCAAGAAATGCTGAAACCACGTCAAAATTAATAAATACTAAAACCATGTCATAATTAATAAATATTGAAAAAATTGTATAATTAATAAGTATTAAAACCATATCATAATTAATAAATCCTGAAACCATGTCATAATTAATAAATACTGAAACCTTGTCATAATTAATAAATACTGAAACCATGGCATAATTAATAAGTATTAAAACCATGTCATAATTAATAAATATTGAAACCATATTATAATTAATGAAAACTGAAACCATATTATAATTAAGGAATACTGAAACCATGGCATAATTAATAAGTATTAAAACCATGTCATAATTAATAAAAATTGAAACTGTGACATAGTAAATAAATACTGAAACCATGGCATAATTAATAAATACTGAAACCATGGCATAATTAATAAATATTGAAACCATGGCATAATTAATAAATATTGAAAACCATATCATAATTAATAAATACTGAAACTGTGTCATAATTCATAAATACTGAAACCTTGTCATAATTAATAAATACTGAGACCATGTCATAATTAATAAATACTGAAACCATGTCATATTAATAAATATTGAAACCATAGCATAATTACTAAATATTGAAAACATGTCATGTTATAATTAATAAATACTGAAACCATATTATTATTAATGAATACTGAAACCATGGCATAATTAATAAATAGTGAAATCGGGTCATAATTAATAAATTTTGAAACCATGTCATAATTAATATATATTGAAACCATGTCACGTCATAATTAATAAATATTGAATCCATATTATTTTTTCCACTTAATGTTAGTAATAATAACAAAATATTTCAATTAAATAGATTTAAGGAGAACGATTAGAGATCAGGGTACGAATTTATCATATGCAAAATTGTTTATACATTAATTCGAAAAACTAGAGTTTAAAGTAATTTTCAGACATGTACACAACAAATATCAAAGCATATTAAAACATATCTAATTAGTTTTACATGAATAGCAATTCGGTTTATAACACATTGTCCTATAATTTTCAAAAAGAGAATTTAGTAGTCTATTTTTAAGTATACTTAGAGAGTTGCTTCTTTTTAAGTCAAGAGGCAGGTTATTCCACATCTTAAGAAGAGAGCTTGATGGTAAATACCGTAATGAGCACATTTTGAGAATGTCAAGTTGATAGTTAAGAGATCTTTCAAAGGTTCCAAGCTTTTTAAACATATTTTCAAAAGATGCAGTAAGAAGTTTATGTGTATATTTATACATAAATATAGCTTGGTTAAAGTCTACCAGATCATTAATCTTTAGAATCTTATACTTAAGGAAAAGAGGATCACTATGAGACGTGGCTTTTGAGTTATCAATAGTACAGTAGAATTGTATATAGTGCAGTAGGATTGGGAATTGTATATAGTAGAGTAGGAGTAGGAACCTTGTACAGTAGAGTAGGATTAGGAATCGTATATATCACAGTAGGATTAGGAACTGTATTTAAAACAGTAGGATTAGAAATTGAATATATTAGAGTAGGAATTGTATTAAAGTAAAGTTGTTTTTATATATTTAGTTCCTATTTGTTGATGTGTGGAGAACCAGGGGAAGAAGCACTGCAGAAATATAAGGATTTCGAATGGTAAGTTTTCAAAACTAATCCAAACCAAACCTTAGTCACCATTCATCATTGTCTAAGTTGAACTGAAACCTTTGTCCCAAGATACGTATTCATCTTGAATACTGTCTGCCTGAATTCATATAACTTATGCAGAACAGATTCCTGCAGGATGCAAATCCATTCCATCAAGAAATATTCAAGAAATATAAGCATTTTATAGGGAGTACTAGGAATTCAAGGAAAACAAGAAATACACGGAATACAAGGAATACAAGGATCACAAGGAATACAAGGAATACAAGAAATGAAAGAATTTTATAAGGAATTAAAGGAATACTAGGAATAAAAGTAATAAAATGATTACAGGGAATGATAGGAAAAAATAGAATTATAGAATTTTAGAAGGAAGAAAAAGAATACAAGAATTACAGGAAATAAAAGAAATACAAGGAGTAGAAAGAATACAAGGAATATAGGGTATGCAAAAAATATAGGGAATACAAGAAATATAGGGAATACAAGAAATTAAAGGAAATACAAGAAATAAAGGAAATACAAGAAATTCAAGGAAATACAAGAAAGACAAGGAAAACAAGGAATACAAGAATGTTTTAGAGAGAAACAGTGATACAAGGAATACGAGAAATTCATAAAATACAACAAATACAAGAATTTTATAAGGAAAAAACGGAATTAAAGGAACAACCAGGAAAACTGTTTAGGTTTGTCGAAGGAGTTCTGTTTGTGATTGTTGGAGGGTTTGGAGTATTTGGAAACCTTTTCTCTCTATTTGTTCTCTCATTGCGACAGGTGCACTTCAAACATTCTAGTATTCTAGAATCTGATTTATTCAGATCCAGCTTTCATGTATCTTGAGGTTAAAAGTAATAAATGCTGACATACATACATATATACCAGTGTATCCTGTTTAGAGCATATATAGGGTTTTGTATTCATACACAAATGATAATGATAACACGCGTTTGAGATGAGACTTATTAGACTTTTATTCATTCATCATGGTCACAAGTTTAAAAATCTAAGAATTGGGGGGGGTATACGGTTTATATCTCAGCTCTGTTAGAAAAGGCTTATAATCNGTACATAGTAAACTACACGCACATTCAAGGTACATAGTACACTATACACACCTTCCAGGTACACAGTACGCTACACGCACCTTCCAGGTACATAGTACACTACACACACCTTCCAGGTACACAGTACACTACACGCACCTTCCAGGTACACAGTACACTACAAACACCTTCCAGGTACACAGTACACTACACATACCTTCCAGGTACACAGTACACTCATCTTACAGGTACAGAGTACACTCATCTTACAGGTACAGAGTACACTCATCTTCAAGGTACACAGTACACTCATCTTACAGGTACTCAGTACACTCATCTTACAGGTACACAGTACACTCATCTTACAGGTACAGAGTACACTTATCTTCAAGGGACACAGTACACAGTACTCACATACATTTTAGGTGAATAAAAGTGCATTTTTCTTGCTGAGATGAATGGAAAGAACTACATAGAGAGAAAAAATGAAGATCAATATAAATAAACTTGAAGCTAATGAATTCTATTTTTAGGTTTTCCAAGTTCACACCCAGATACATGCTTTTCTCTTCTCCAGGTACCTTTTCATATACAGTATATAAACATTTGTTATTTTTTACAAAGAAATGTAATTCACTCTCAGACAAATTAGAATTAATGGAAGTTTAAACCCCCCGAGATATTCAATGATAAACCCGTCTGTCAAGTATATCTCTTATTTCTAGGTTTCTATAGTCGCTGTCAAGTATATCTCTGATTTTTAGGTTTCTGTACCTGCTGTTACGTATATCTCTGATTTCTAGGTTTCTGTACCCGCTATCAAGTATATATCTGATTTCTAGGTTTCTATACCCGCTGTCAAGTATATCTCTGATTTCTAGGTTTCTGAACCTGCTGTTAAGTAAATCCCTGATTTCTAGGTTTCTGTACCCACTGTCAAGTATATCTCTGATTTCTAGGTTTCTGTACCTGCTGTTAAGTATATCTCTGATTTCTAGGTTTCTGTACCCGCTATCAAGTATAAATCTGATTTCTAGGTTTCTGTACCCGCTGTCAAGTATATCTCTGATTTCTAGGTTTCTGTACCCGCTGTCAAATATATCTCTGATTTCTAGGTTTCTGTACCCGCTGTCAAGTATATCTCTGATTTCTAGGTTTCTGTACCCGCTATCAAGTATAAATCTGATTTCTAGGTTTCTGTACCCGCTGTCAAGTATATCTCTGATTTCTAGGTTTCTGTACCCGCTGTCAAATATATCTCTGATTTCTAGGTTTCTGTACCCGCTGTCAAATATATCTCTGATTTATAGGTTTCTGTACCCACTGTCAAGTATATCTCTGTCTGCCTCTATATTTATGACAGTGTCTCTGTCTATAGAGAGATACTGGGCAGTGTGTCAACCAACGGTAATACATTTAATTCTCGTATTTTATTATTTAATTTTTATTGTTTTGAAATATACAACACACGTGGATTTAAAGGTTCTGTCAATGTTCCAGAAAGCTGTGACTTTCAATCACAATTTGACCTATTAAACATAACTTTTTAGCCTTTCTTCTTGTAGACTTTTTTGCCGGCATATACTTTTTGAATGAAAAGTATAAGATTAACAAATCTGCAAGTTTAAAGATTGTTTAATTATAGACCAAAACGCATATGACTTCAAACAGAAGAAACCGAACGCGTTTCACTCTGGTTAGTCCAGGGTGAACAGCCATATTTTGGTAGTCTTTTATGTTATAACACTGAGACGGCCCAGGGAAAGGAAAAAGGGTAGAAATGTGGTGCATCTTTTCCATTTTACACCCTTATTTATTAAAACATTCTTAAAAATCGATAAAATTAAAGAGTTATAGTCTGTCTCTCGTTACCAAAAGGAAAATGTTTTTCAAACCTTTTTATTCTTCAAGCCTGAACACCTAAATTAATCTTTTTATTCTTCAAGCCTAAACACCTAAATTAATCTTTTTGTTCTTCAAGCCTAAACACCTAAATTAATCTTTTTATTCTTAAAGCCTGAACACCTAAATTAATCTTTTTATTCTTCAAGCCTAAGCACCGAAATTTATCAAATTAGTGCAAAAACTGTATCAAGCTGATAAATGCCCATCGTGGTATTGTCACTATAAATAACATGGAGAACATTTTCGTCTTTCAAATAATTTTCCTCAAACATCTAAAATTTTTATAAAAACATACTTCATCTGAAACAAAGTTTAAATTTAGTTTAATCTCGTATCTTTGAAGTTTAAAAGAATATCATTAAGCCTCGCTCTTTAAACTCTTGCAGATGAATTTTTTCTGAATATAATTGAGGATAAGTTGCAGTATTTGTCAATGTCAAGATTAGAGGAAATTCTCTTGAAATAAGAACATGTTTAGGTTCATTTATCTTCTTGACAAACCCTAATTAGTTAAAAGAAAACAATAAAATGAAAGTTAAAGTTGAGAAAAATGTATAATTGTATTTTTAATCCTTTAACGAAGATCTAATATGTATCTTTTGTATAATTTAATGAATAACCATAAAGTTTCCACCGATCAGAAGCCATAAAAAGTCTTCTCTCGGCCAATAAGAGTTAAGTACGAAGTAATTCATTATTTTGATAAAGTACTTAATTGATTCAACTAAAAAGTTGCTACTGGGGATATAGAGCTCAGGCGTTGAAGAGTAACGCCATTTCAGTCAAAAGTTCAGACCTCTGGGCTCTGGTTAGGTTTAGCTTGTGATACAATTAAATTGGCAATTTTACTCATTCAATCAAATTTTATATTAGAAAAAAACTCTATAATTAGGAGAAACTACTCGATAATTAGACCTGAAAATAGACCAAAAACTACTCGATAATTAGACTGAAAACAAGGTTAGAAACTATTCGATAATTATACATGAAACTAGATCAGAAACTACTCGACAATTATACCTGAAACTAGATCAGAAACTACTCGACAATTATACCTGAAACTAGATCAGAAACTACACTATAATTATACCTGAAACAAGACCAGAAATTGCTCAATAATAAGACCTGAAACTAGATAAGAAACTTTTTGATAATTAGACCAAAAACACGACCAGAAACTACTCGATAATTAGGCCTGAATCTAGAAAAGAAACTACTCGATAAGTAGACCTGAAACAAGACCAGAAACTACTCGATAATTAGACCTGAAACACGACCAGAAATTACTCGATAATTAGACCTGTAACTGGATAAGAAACTAATCGATAATTAGACCCGAAAATAGATCAGAAACTATGTGATAATCAGACTTGAAACTAGACCAGAAACTACTCGATATTTAGAGCTAAACTAAATCAGAAACTACTCGATATTTTGATTTACAAATGTTTTAAACAATCCCATCAAACCCTTGATCACTCCTTTTACTCCGACACGGAAAACTAGTAAGTTACATTATTTAATATTCAACTTTATTTACATTGTCATTTAATTTGATTAACATTGTTATTTAATTTAATCTGAAATATACGGAGTTTCATGTATGTTTGCAGCTTTCTGCGTCCTGAGTTAAGGAAATTAATAAACAAGGCAACGACCCTACCTATTAATTAATCAACCATGCTATTAGTCTTTTGTCACCAACTCCTGCCTATAGTTTTACAGTGATTCTCAACTGAATATAATTGAGATATTTTAAAATGAGATGGGCAAAGCTGAATATTCTGCAAAGAAGTTAAAATTTTAGTCCATTTTCAATTCTTTGTAGTTGAAAAGAAATTCAAGTACTTCGCCAATATAAAAATAATGCATGATTCTTCGTTTGGAAAAATTCTGGGGGTAAAAGAGTTACTTCTTGATGGTTTGTAATATTCAGAAATTTTAAAAATTTTGTTTAAGATTATTTTATTCGTATAACGTGGTTATTAAATTCGAGTGTAAAGTTCTTCAATATCGCATTATTCAGAATGTAATTAATAAAATTATATTTGCTTTTTTTCTGACCTTTTGCACAATGCAAATTTTTTCGTGTTAAAATTCTCAAACTAACTTGAATTCTACAGAAAACGCAAGTTTATCAAAAACAAAAAAATTTAACAGTACAGAATAAAAAGGTAAAAAAATAAAAACTTTATAGATGAAAAATTAGTTTTGGGGCAAAAAATCTTGATTTTTATTTCCAAAAATTTTATTCATTTGCTCAAACAGTTATTTGTCATCATCAAACAAATATTTTTGATTCAAACCAGAAAATATTGAAATATTTCATTTTTTCCAGAACTACCGGAGCGCAAACCTTTCTGAGACTCAATGTAAGAGGGTTCTGAAGTACCTTGTTCCAGTTATCCTTCTCTCCGTCCTACTCAACCTACCAAAATTCCTTGAAACTTCGGTCCAGTATGATCCTGAGGAAGAGAAGGTAAACGTTCGTCTAATAGATTACCCCGCAAAGGATGAAAGTGTAATTAAGACCTAATAAGGATGAAACTGTAATTAAGACCTAATAAGGATGAAACTGTAATTAAGACCTAATAAGGATGAAACTGTAATTAAGATCTAATAAGGATGAAACTGTAATTAAGACCTAATAAGGATGAAACTGTAATTAAGACCTAATAAGGATGAAACTGTAATTAAGACCTAATAAGGATGAAACTGTAATTAATACCTAATAAGGATGAAACTGTAATTAAGACCTAATAAGGATGAAACTGTAATTAAGACCTAATAAGGATGAAAGTGTAATTACGACCTATTAAGGATGAAACTATTAAGGATGGTTTAAAGAATAAAAAAGGTCTACTTACTCAATCATAATCTTGTAAATGACATTAAATGATGTGGAAAAAAAGATAACTATTGCTGGTTCAGCGAACTCTGAAATTAATAACTAAGACAGGAAAATGTAATCATTTCACTTAAAGTACATTCTTTGTGTGTTGTGTAACCCTGCGCCTTCTGGTAAACTACAAGAGGAACAAGTAAAGAAAAGAAAAAAATTGGAATAGGAGTAAGTGTATGAAGAATGGAATAAATAATAAAAGAATGGGAAAAAAGTAAGTAAAAGAAGAATGGAATAGAAGTGAGTTTATGAAGAATGAAATAAAATTAAGTAAAAGAAGAATGGAATAGAAGCAAGTGGAAAAAGAATGGGAGTAATTGCAAATGATGAATGAAGTAAGTAAAAGAAGAATATAATAGGAGTAAAGAAATGAAGAATAGAATAGAAATAAGGAAAAAGATTGGAATAAATAGAAAAAATGAAAATGGAAAAGGAGAAAGAAAAGTAAAATGGAATAGGAGTTATAAGAAAAAGGAAAATGAAATAGAAGGAAGTAAAAAGATAATGGAACAGGAGCTAATAAAAGAAGAATGGAATAGTAGTAGGGAAAGGAAAATGAAATAGGAGCTAATAAAAGAAGAATGGAATAGAAGCAAATAGAATAAAATAAAACTATAGAATGGAAGTTACTAATAGACGCAAATAAAAGAAGAATGGAGTAAGTAAAAAGAAGAATGAAATAGTAAGAAGTAACAAATTATAGAAAAGGAGATAAAAGAAAAATGCAAAAGGAGAAGTAAAAAGAAGATTGAAATAGAAGAGTCTCAAGAAAAAATTGCATACAGTCCCTTTAAATTCAATGAAGCAAGAATCTGGCTTTATAAGCAGGATCATAAAATAGAAAATACTTCAAGCAAAAAAACTTAATATTTTTAGATTCACTACAATGTGACAGAACTGAGAAAGGATCCAACATATATCTGGTGAGTTAATGTTCACATCACAAACCTCAATTTTTATTTTTTTGTCAGTAACCTACAGGCTACAGAACGTAATCAAGGTCGTGCCGGGTCATATCAAAGTAAAGTACTTATTTGACAACATCACACTGGTTTGCTTACTATGAAAAAAAGAGGAATCAAAGGAATATATTACTTAATAATTCTATTGTAACCTGTTCACGATCAGTGTTATTTTTTTTTTGTTAAATTTTTCTAATCTAAAGAATTTACGCCATCAATCTAATGCGTGTTAAAATGGGTTTTTCTTGTTTACTGGAATATTTGAAATCGAAACTTGAGACTAACAGTCATCTTACTATTCACATATTGTATAGTTTCCACTGTAGATAAACTCTCGGTCTTTTTCAAAAAGGAATTGAGTGTTGTCCTAAACTCAAATGTTCTAAAAATCCACCTTTAATACTTTAAACTTTAAACTATTCGCTCTAACAGATAGCATAGTTTGAAATATCATAGGTTTAGGACTTTGGGCTGCAAAGATTAAGTTATAGAAAATCAGAGTTTGTGGAAAAAACTCAATTCGCTTTAAATAAGTATTATTTTAATGTATACACTAATTACAACACTTAAACTACAGAATTCCTATTCTTTTCCTTTTTAGCATCTGTATAAAGTAGTAATCTCTAAGTTTCAATGTCCGATCATAACTAAAGAACCCCTTGAACGATTTGCCTCAAATTTTGATTATAAAACTTGGTAGAACTACGTTAATGTTTAAAAGTTTTAAGTTGCTTAGGTTGACTTAATTCCAGGGAAAACCGGGTTCCCAAGCTAGTTTGAAGTCCATGGTTAATCTTATTAAATGCTCGTTTACTCTTGGAAAGAGAAAAGAAAGTTTTTAAATGTTTTTAAATGCAAGTTCATAAAACAAATTAATTATTATATTTTTAAAAGTTTTTAATTTGTTTTACTAAGAACCTGGGAGCTAAAACTTTTAGGAATAGAATTAAAAAATATGGTACATTTTTTTTGTAGACCTGGTTTTAAGCTTTCAATAACCTACCACACTTTTTGATGCACCATATACTTTTTCTTATGAATGGTTCAGTGAAAGACAAGTATTTTCTTAATGAAGTTTTTTGATTAATATATACATATATCGTCCTCTTGTATACACGAAATGTAGAGAACAACGGTATAAATTATGCATCTCTTCTAGACCATATTTTATAGAGGCAATTAACATATTTACAATAACAGAAAATATCACATTATAAAGGAAGCAATTTAAAGAAATGAACACACGTCACAACTTTTCTTTTTATATATCTTAGCAACCTGATGATTTATATCTTTGAAGTTTCAAAATATGAATTATGTTAGATCAAATAATCAAAGCTTGAAAGTAAAAGGTTTATATAAGTAGTTGTGAATATATATTGTATTAGATGATTAAAGTTTTTAGCGATTTTTTAGTTCCTTTACATCGATCTCATTATTTAGAGTTTTCTAAAGGATAAATCAAGCTTAATTTTTTACTTTACCATTGCAACCCAATGTCAAAGTCCTTTGATATTTCAAACTATTAATTCTATTGGATTAAATAATCTATGTTTGAAAATATCAGAGGTTTACACCATTAGGTTAAAAAGAATATAGGGATAAAAAAAGACTCAATTCCTTTGTGATAAATAGCTAAACCAGCAGGTTCAGCTATTTCTTCTGTATACGTAAATTTTATTAACCTAATTGGTTAAAACAAAACTGGACAGTGGAAATATCCTCACTTTGAATTGGTTCTAAAATCTCGTAGATGTTCTTTTTAAATCAGAACTTCATAACTTCCGGAACAGCTTTAAGCTTAATCCTTGTAAGTTGAACCTGGTTCTAATGCCTAAGGTTCCTACTCTAAAATCATTATAAAATAGCGCTAACTCTGAATAATCTATCATATTTAAATCTTAGAGGGATTGTGCATCAATTTTTAAAAAGTTATCACTTTTAGTTGATCAGTGTTTTTTTCATTCGTTGTTTACTTTAAAGATTTCAAACTAATCCACGTGTTTATCGTTTTCGTTCCTTTTCGGACTTTAAAAAGGATTTACAAAAATATGAGAGTTTTAAAATTGTTCAAAAGAAGCAAACTTATGTTTTAAAAAATCCGAGTTTTGTAAAATTGTTTTTAAAAAAAGAACCAAAAAAATTACAATTATCAATTTAAGAAGTTATAGTTTATTTCCTTTATAGGAAATATTATATTACTAGGCTATCAGAGCGCTTCGCGCCTATCTTCTATTTTTCAACTCTTCATAGTTGCTAAACCTTTCAGTATTTTTTCATTAATAAAAAAAAAAAATTTCGGATTTACAAATTTTTCTCATGGATGTTCAAAATTTTACGAAAATAAAAATACATAAACCTTTCCTGGGGTCATGTAAGGTCCCACACAAAATTCGGGACTGATCGGTTTAGCTGTATTGACGTTTATTGGATACAAACGAACAAACAAACAGACAGACAGACAAAGTATATATAAACAAGGCTTTTAGGGTGCTTCGCGCCGATCTTTCTTTTCAATTTTAATTGTGGCTTTATCTGTGAGCATCTTCTCTTTGTACAGTATATAAAAAAAAGTTTGCATTTCATAAACTTTTTTCGCGCATTTTCAAAACTTTACAAAAATAAAAAACTTTTAAACACAAATTTTTAAAATTATTTTCATCACAAAAAATGTGGACCGAATTGGTTCAAACGTTTTGACGTTTATTGAAAACGAAAGAACAGATAGATTAGCAAAGTATATATTTAGATATAGATGAAAAATCGATGTTGGACAGGAGGGAAGAGTAAGTGCATCTAATTCAAGTGTCCTGTTTCTTCATAACCATGTCATGTTTTCATTGATATTAATAATGCAGGAGAATATAATAATATTGTAAATTGAGAGACTGTTGTTAAAAATATCCAATACTGTAGAGTATAAAGTATATTTATAACATGTCAAAATGCTGCAGTATTTTCAACTCCTTTGTTCACCTCGTAAAGAAACTGAGTAAGCATAATTTCAATTGAGCATCAATGCACAGATGGCAATGCCTGATTCACAGCTGTACCCTTGAAAAGCTAGTCTGATCAAGTATAAATTAGATATCATTGTTTATGATTTGAAAATCTGCTTATTTTCAATTGTGATTTCTATACAAAAGTGTCAGGAGCATTTCTACTTCAGGAAAACCTATACAAATTATTAGAATTTAAAACTTTTAAACCTAGAACAGCGATACTAACTTCTACATTACTTTATCAGATAACGGTTTACCGTTGCGAGTAGGGGACATTGACATCTAAGCATGGAGGGTCACTTGAACACACGCTTACAGTCCCTATAGACTATAGAAATGCGCTGTAGTTTTATAGAGATTTGAAGAGTTTTGTATGATCGATAAAGTGAAAGATATTGTTGTTTTTTAACTTAAAAAGTGTTTAATTCTTACCATTTCCTTAAGCAGAAAAATCTGCTGCTAGTTATCATGAAAGAGAACTACAATTGAAAACAACCAATTTTTCAGAGAGAAATCATTGATATTGATCATGCAAAGCTTTCAAGCTTGGGGAAAAATTATAATTGTAAGATATGAAACTAAACAGCGAAAACAGTTCTGAATTGTATTACTTAGTTTTAAAATGTTTTGAAAATGATTCCATGTAATGAGATATCCACAGATCTATCTGTTCCAGCGCTCGACTCTCACAGATTAAAGGTTGTAAATTCCAATTTAAAGTTTGAAATTGAAAATTTCAACTCTGAACAAAAAGAAAACTACATACATGAGTATTTGTCACATTTTGTAAAATGTTGTGTCTAAAAGTTAATCTATACAACTATTATTATTGCTTCCTTCTGATTTTTTACGTATCTTAGATAAGATTTGAAAGTTGTCCTTACTCTGTTTGTTATTAAAAATACCGTCGCAGGCTTTACACAGAATATTAAAAACATTTTCCGTTTTTTAAATCAAAATACCATATTATAATACATTATAAGTTAGATTCAGAAATTTACTAAGGGTTACCCAGAATTGTCTCTCCAGTCTCCCCTTTCTGTAGCTCCCTACATTTCTTTAGAGTGGAGCAATTTTCCAAGGTTTCGCCCCGCCCCGCCCCAGTTAGCTTGATATTCTATATTTCTGTTTTAGGTACACTACAGTTATGTACAGTTTCCATCCGTTGCTCACCACAGAGCTAGGACCCATCCTTACCCTCTCCTCACTTAATCTCTTCATATACTCAGCTATTCGTTCTACAAAACAGAGGTAGGACAGAGTACCTTCTAAAGAGCAGAGGTAGGGCAGAGTACACTCTATAGAGCAGAGGTAGGGTAGAGCACATTCTATAGAGCAGAGGTAGGACAGAGAACATTCTATAGAGAAGAGGTTGGACAGAGTACACTCTATAGACTCAAAGGGTAGAGGTAGGACAGAGTACTTTCTATAGAGCAGAAGTAGGACAGAGAACATTCTATAGAGCAGAGGTAGGACAGAGTACACTCTATAGAGAAGAGGTTGGACAGAGCACACTCTGTAGACTCATAGAGTAGAGGTAGGACAGAGTACTTTCTATAGAGCAGAGGTAGGACAGAGAACATTCTATAGAGCAGAGGTTGGACAGAGAACATTCTATAGAGAAGAGGTTGGACAGAGAACATTCTATAAAGAAGAGGTAGAACAGAGAACATTCTATAGAGCAGAGGTAGAACAGAGTACACTCTTTTAGAGTAGAGGAAGGACAGAGAACACTCTATAGAGTAGAGGTTTGGCAGAGTACATTCTATAGAGCAGAGGTTTGGCAGAGTACATTCTATAGAGCAGAGGTATGGCAGAGTGCATTCTATAGAACAGAGGTAGGATTGAGTACATTCTATAAAGCAGAGATAGGGGAGAGTACATTCTATAGAACAAAGGTGGGACATGGGACAGAGCACATTATATAGAGAAGAGGTAGGACAGAGTACATTCTAAAGAGCAGAGGTAGGACGTAGAACATTCTATAGAGAAGAGGTAGGGCAAAGTACATTCTATAGAGCAGAGGTAGGAAAGAGAACATTCTACAGAAAAGAGGTAGGACAGAGAACATTCTATAGAGCAGAGGTAGACAGAGTACATTCTATAAAGCAGAGGTAGGGCAGAGTACATTCTATAGAGCAGAGGTAGGAGAGAGTACATTCTATTAAGCAGAGGTAGGACAGAGTACATTCTATTAAGCAGAGGTAGGGCAGAGTACATTCTATAGAGTAGAGGTAGAGCAGAATACATTCTATAGAGTAGAGGTAGGGCAGATTACATTCTATAAAGTAGAGGTAGAGCATAGTACATTCTATAAAGCAGAGGAAGGACAGAGAACATTCTTTAAAGTAGATAAAAGTATAGTCTTTAGTAAAGGGTGTAAGGCAGAGTGTTTCTTTAGCGCAGAGGTAAGGCAGAGTATATTCTAAGCAGAGGAAGGGTAGAGTACAAGGGAAGTATTTTATAGAGCAGAGATAGTGTAGTTCTTCTATGCTACAGATTATAACTTTAAAGGTTTGTCGGGCATAATCAAGGAAGGAGTGGACACGGAGAACTAAATCTAGCAAGTGTTATCATCATCATTGTATTGATCTTCGTCATCTGCCACTTACCCAGGTAGTTTATATAAACAAGTTAGTTCAGTATACAAACTACAATACTAATAAAGTCTATAGACTACAACAGTCTACAGACTAAAACAATCTATAGACTGCAACAGTCTACAGACTAAAACAGTCTACAGACTACAACAGTCTACAGACTAAAACAATCTATAGACTACAACAGTCTACAGACTAAAACAGTCTTCAGACTAAAACAGTCTACAGACTAAAACAGTCTACAGACTACAACAGTCTACAGACTAAAACAGTCTACAGACTAAAACAGTCTACAGACTAAAACAGACTACAGACTAAAACAATCTATAGACTACAACAGTCTACAGACTAAAACAGTCTACAGACTAAAACAGTCTACAGACTAAAACAGTCGACAGACTAAAACAGACTACAGATTAAAACAATCTATAGACTGCAACAGTCTACAGACTAAAACTGTCTACAGACTAAAACAGTCTACAAACTAAAACAGTCTACAGACTAAAACAGTCTATAGACTACAACAGTCTTCAGTCTACAACAGTCTATAGACTACAACCGTCTACAGACTACAACCGTCTACAGACTACAACAGTCTACAGACTATAACAGTATACAGAATATAACAGTACGCAGACTACAACAGTAAACAAACTCCACGAATTTAAAGATTACAAAAGTCTACAGACTAAAAAAGTCATAATATAAAAGTCTTAAGACCAACAACAGTAAACAGACTACAACAGTCTTCCTACTTCAACCGTTTTGACACTTCAAGAGTCTAGAAACTACAATGAATCTACACATTACAATTTAGTTAAAAGTCTATATTTTAGTCTAAAGACTAAATTATGTAGCCTAAAAAAGTTTTTTTTGTTAAGAATGGTTCTCGCTATCCTGGCTGTTGTGAAGGTTAACGAACCTGTCACTTGTATGGAACACTTCCACTTCTACCATCCTCCNCCCCCATCACTACATATTCTTCCATTGTATACACTATGCACTATGCAGTCTTCTATACTTGTATATAGTCTACTATACTCCCCCTTGTATATAATCTACTATACTCCCCCTTGCATATAGTCTATTATACTCCCTCTTGTAAATAATCTACTATACTCCCCCTTGTAAATAATCTATTATACTCCCTCTTGTGAATAATCTTCTATACTCCCTCTTGTATATAGTCTACTATACTCCCCCTTGTATATAATCTACTATACTCCCCCTTGTATATAATCTACTACACTCCCCCTTGTATATAGTCTACTATGCTCCCTCTTGTAAATAATCTTCTATACTCCCCCTTGTCTATAGTCTACTATACTCCCCCTTGTAAATAATCTACCATACTCCCCCTTGTATACAGTCTACTATACTTCCCTTGTATAAAATCTACTATACTTCCCCTTGTGTACAGTCTACTATACTTCCCTTGTATATAATCTACTATACTCCCCTTGTATATAATCTACTATACTCCCCTTGTATATAATCTACTAAACTCCCCTTGTATATAATCTACTATACTCCCCTTGTATGTAATGTACTATACTCCCCCTTGTATATAATCTACTATACTCCCCTTTGTATACAATCTACTATACTTCCCTTGTATATAATCTACTATACTTCCCTTTGTATACAGTCTACTATACTTCCCTTGTATATAATCTACTATACTCCCCTTGTGCAAAGTCTAACCTTGTGTATGTGTGTTATCAAAGGCGAAGAAAATGTTTACTAGAACTAAACAATGATAAAGATCGAGTACTTTTCTATTTTTTATATCTATAGTTGTTTGTCGTGCTATCAAATCTGCTAAAGAAGATTATGATGTAAATATTATGATCTATTATCCAGAACAGAAAAACACTAAATTAAGAAATCTTAATTCAATTTCTAAAATTTAAAATCCGCACAGAAATCTACGGACTTCTTGTTGAAATATTCTCACACTTCTGCTCAATTCAAAACAGTCAAAACGCAAAAGATATAATTTTAAAACATGAGATGCTAGATCTTAAAATATTTACAGTATTTATAATTCTAACAGTAACATACTTCATTCATTTGGATTCTAGTGGATAAGCTGAAAATCTGATCGAGAAATCATGTTTTTCATATTTTGTTCTTCCTTGCAAATCCGAAACTTTTTAGAAGAAGAATATTTAAATCCCACCATAAGGCATACATATCCACATAACGAGAAGAATACTCTATTCCAATGCGATATACGATGCACAATAATACATGAATGCCGCGTTGTTCACAGTACACTTAACACCGTACACTGTTAGCTGATCATTAGAAAAGGCGGGAAATTTAATTGTATTACTTGTAGAGTATTTCCCACCTGCTGCTGCTGATCAACTCTTCAATCAACTTCTTAATCTACTGCGCAGTCGCAACCAGGTTCAGGGTCTTCATGAAGAGGTTTATCATGTGTGAGAGTAGAGAACTGACATCTAATCCACCCTTCGGGGTTACACGGCTGGTGGAGGCTCCTCTAGTTCTAGTTCATGCAGCCTTGGATAATCAAGAATCCATAAATATCATCAGATCAAGGTTAGAATATATAGAATAGATTCAAGTAGATAATGAAATGAAAACTCTTGTATTGGATACTGTTAATTGTGATTTCTAAATTTCTGTATCAACACTGGACACTTTTGATTTTATGCTTAATCCTCTCATTTGGAAGGTTAGAATAAGACCCTGGAATATTAGTTCAGGTTAGAAGTATCCGGCCTCTAGTTATATTATTTCTAGGTTAGAAGTAGACCCTAGGAATATTAGTTCAGGTTAGAAGTATCCGGCCTCTAGTTATATTATTTCAAGGTTAGAAGTAGACCCTAGGAATATTAGTTCAGGTTAGCAGTATCCGGCCTCTAGTTATATTATTTCTAGGTTAGAATAAGACCCTAGGAATATTAGTTCAGGTTAGAAGTATCCGGCCTCTAGTTATATTATTTCTAGGTTAGAATAAGACCCTAGGAATATTAGTTTAGGTTAGAAGTATCCGCCTCTAGTTATATTTTTTCTAGGTTAGAATAAGACCCTAGGAATATTAGTTCAGGTTAGAAGTATCCGGCCTCTAGTTATATTATTTCAAGGTTAGAAGTAGACCTTAGCAATATTATTTCTAGGTTAGAAGTATAACCTAGCAATATTGTTTCTAGGTTAGAAGACCCTAGCAATATTAGCTCTAGGTTAGAAATAACTAGCAATATTGGTTAAAGGCCTAGAATAGATACATTATCTAGGGCTAGGCTTGGAATATATTTATTCCAGAATATAGATTATAGAATTTGGGAAAATATTAATCTAGGATGGAAGTTTTAGAATCTTGGAATATTAATTTAGGATAGAAGTTATAAAATCTAGGAATATTTATTTAAACTAGAAGATATAGAATCTAGGAATATTAATCTAGAATAGAAGATATAGAATCTTGGAATATTAACCTAAGATGGAAGTTTTAGAATCTAGGATTATTAACTTAGGATAGAAGTTATCGTATCTAGGAATGTTAATCTAGAATAGAAGATATAGAATCTTGGAATATTAATCTAGGATGGAAGCTTTAGAATCTTGGAATATTAATTTAGGATAGAAGATATAGAATCCTGGAATATTAATTTAGGATAGAAGATATAGAATCCTGGAATATTAATTTAGGATAGAAGATATAGAATCTAGAGTTTTTATTCTATGTTTACAATAGAACATTCGAAAATATTAATTCGGAGTTTTGAATCGAAATCAAATTTATTTTGATTTTATTTATTTGGATATTCATTAAGGTATTTGATCTGAATTATTTACAAATTACAAGGAACAAGTTGCTAAGGGTCAGACCGTAAATTATGGATTTGGCATAGGATCATGAATTCTTATTTCTCCAGACATCTCCGGACATTGCCAATACAAAGATACACTTATCTAGGATAAATGTAATTATACAAGAGACACTGAGTTTCCTCCAATCGTCATCCATTTTTAATTTATATTTGAATATTTTTACATATTTTACATGTTTTTGAAGAATTTGCAGAAATTAAAAAAATATATTTGAGATGAAACATTACATTGTATGCCAAACTCATGTATACAGTGAGACTCAGAAAACTGTGGGATAGGAAGACAACTTCAAAGTAATACTTAAGTGTATTTGACAATGTTACTCAGCTGGCTGTGAGGACTGAACTACTTTGAAAGATTAGGTATACAAGCCATGATACCGGTTTTTTACTCAGCAGGCTCTGAGGACTGGACTACTATGAAAGATTCCACCTGTTGTGGCTTTAAGGCTTCCAACTCCCCATTTTTCATAAGCCGTTGAGTTATGGGTTTCCTTAATTCTGCATAAGTTGGAAAGACTTTAATACAAAGGAAAGCAGGGATCTTTTACTGAAATCCCTCATACCCTTCCTCCTCCAAACTTCCTTATCTCTTTCCTTCTTGCTCCACAACATGATGTCACAAGGACTACTTGGAGAGGCCTCAAAACATAGAAATGTCCCAGTCATTAAATATACATGCTAAAAGCAGCCTTTTCAAGTGTGTAGGAAAGCGGGAGCCTGTCAACCTTGTTCTAAGATAACAGCATGGCAACTGCTAGGATGTCCCAATTTTATTTAAATTAGCCTAAATATGATGAAAGATGTACAAACAAGAAGAAAATGATGAACAAGAAATATAGACGAGTCAAACTATATTGTATCTGACATTATCTATTTATTTATAGAGTATTGCTAAAATTAAAAATAAAAAAATTAAAAAAGATTTTTAAAAAGTTATAACTTGAGTCTAAAAGTCATCTTTCTATTCCAGAGTTTTCAGATCCTCACTGCAGTCAGGAAACTGAAGGAAAACTTGTAAATCTTACATGAGGGCACAGTGCAACCTTAAATTTGTGGTTTTGATATTAGAGATTTTTTTAGGTTGAACAGTAGAGCAGAAGGAATAGAGCTGAAAGCCTTATTTAAGGTAAAGATTAAAAAAATTGAATGCGCTTATATACGCTGAATAATTTATTATAAGTATCTTAATGTTTTTTTTCTTCAAAATTTGAACTTGTAGGGTTTCCAGTCGTAATTACGTTACGCGCAATTACACGTAATTACGCATAACACTTTCTTTCACTTACGCAGGAGCATTACGCGTAATTACGCGTTTATTACGTTTACGAAAGAAAGAATTACGCGAAATTACGTAATACAAAACAATTCTGTAATAAATAAAGTACATATTAATTCTCAGAAATAATTATAGCGGGAAAGTATGTGTAAGGATATGCCCACTACAACCAAGTGAACATGTCAACATATTTTGACGATTTTATTGACATTTTTTTTCAAACAAGCAAGGTAAACTTGAGAAAGTAGGTTGAAATATCAACAAGTCGTCGAAAACTGAAAATTTATAGATTACGTATTTTTTTGATAAAATAAATTGTTGGCCCTTTGTTAAACTTTTTAGTTGTCGAACGTAAAAATTACATAGTATTGGCTGAAATTTCTGATTCAACTTGTGTGACATTATATTCCTTGTAAGTTAGTTGTTTTATTTAAATTAAAAGCTAAAACTTCGAAATTTAATAGATGTAATTATTGCAAAATTTCGCAAAATTACTTTGCAGAAATTACGGCGTAATTTCGAGAAATTGAAGTTTCGCTAATTACGCATAATTAAAAAAAAATTTCGCGAAATTCCCTCATAGAATTACGCGAAATTATGCCGTAATTATAGTTTCGCCTATTACCCGTAATCATTACGAAATTTTGCCAAATTACGTGGTATAAATTACGCCAAATTACACGAAATTACGCCGTAATTACGCTGTAATTTCGCGAAATGGATATTTCCCCAATTACGCGTAATCCTGCGAAATTACACGAAATGAAAATCATTACGCGTAACTGCACGTAATTACGCGTAAGAGAATAATCTATTACGTTGGAAACCCTAATTTGAAGAAAATACTTTTTGAGATTTGTTTTTAATCCTGACTGACGGTAAACATTCCCCAGGGTTATGTAAGATACCTTAACAAAGGAGCTGAGTTCTTTTAACAAATCCAAATTTTCTAATTCCAATATCTTTGCAATCCACTGAAAAAGACCATAAATATTTCAAACTATGAATTATGCTATGTAAAGTAATCTTAGTTTGAAATATCAAAGGTTTACTTCATCAGGTTGCAAAGATATAGGGCTTAGAAATTTTGAGTTTGTGGCAAAAACTCAATTCCTTTGGATTTAAAAAACCGTTAAGCCATATATAAATGTACGAAATAAATATTTGGATGAAAGGATAAAGTTATATCTTGATCAGTATTGAGGGTTCGTTACTGAAAGGGAGATCTTAATCTTTAGTTAGAACTAAAAACAATTGTATATTAACAATAAAGATTTTTCTAACTCTGAGGTTTGAGGCAAGCGATCTTAGGCAAAATTTAAAGAATTTGAGCCGCCACGCACCTCAAATGGTTGGTTCCACTTAAAATTATATTTAATGTTTCAAGATTTAAGCCGGCGCTAAATTAAAACCGGATTTTGGTGGATTTCAGACGCGGCTCAAATTCATTAAATTCGGACTCAGTTCCTGTGGAAAGTTTTTTTTACCATTGTTGCTGGGCACATACAAATACTATCTTTAATTCTAGGATAATAACGAAATAACAACAGAAATATTTCTTGAGTCCTTCAATGGGCAGGACAGACCGGACTCAGATTCAGTTTTCCATCAGAGTATATCTACCGGTCTAATCAGCTTGGTTAGAAGAGAAAGTGCAGAGCTAGGTATGCAAACAACCAACCTCTAGCTTTACTCAATGCTCGCATCCTACTAAGGTGAGCACGGGCAGAATAGTGTTCTTAATACGGGTTTACAGTGGAAAAGAAAGGTTTTTCTACAGGACTGAAACAAAATTTCGATAGACCAGTGACCGGTTTTCCAAAGAGCAGAGACCGGGTTTCCAGAAACCAGTTTTCCAGAGCCCAGTAACAGGTTCTCTAGATAGCAGAAACCAGTTTTCCAAAGAGCAGAGACCGATTTTCCAGAGAGCAGAGTCTGGTTTTCCAGAGAGAAGAGACCGGGTTTCCAGAGACAAGAGACCGGTTTTCTAGAGAGTAGAGACTGGTTTTCCAGAGAGCAGTGACCAGGTTTCCATAAACCACGTGGATTCAAAAGATCTTGTAGGGGATTTACTACAGGCCATGAAGACCAGGTTTACAGAGCTTGTTCTAATTAATTTTCTCAAACAACCTCTCTCGGTAAGAGACAAACTTACTAAAAGTAGGAGACAATATTCCTCTTAGTCCGGAGACAATATTCCTCTTAGTCCGGAGACAATATTCCTCTTAGTCCGGAGATAATATTCCTCTTAGTCCGGAGACAATATTCCTCTTAGTCCGGAGACAATATTCCTCTTAGTCCGGAGACAATATTCCTCTTAGTCCGGAGAAAAATGCACAAGGCCACAGAACAACTTCTTCTGTGGCCTGAGACAAGCTCTCAGGGCCAGAGACAAACTTTCTCTAGGATAGAGACAAACTTGCATAGCCTGAGACAAGCTGTCATGGCCAGAGGTAAACTTTTAGGGCCAGAGACAAACTTTATCTATGATAGAGACTTACATGGTCTGAGAAAAGTTTACCTAAGGCCGGAGACAAACTTCCTCTAGGATAGAGATAAACTTTAATGAGCACAGGCAAACTTCTTATAGGATAGAGATAAACTTCCCTAGAGGACAAAATTCCTCTAGGCCAGTGAAAAACCTTCATCGCAAGAGACAAACTTCTTCTGGGTCGGAGACAAACTTATTCCCGGAATGTTGAAGAAAACATCCGACCTTTAAATCTCGGGAAAAAAACGTATTTCTTTGATTTAGAGAAACCATACGTCGGAAACCACTTGAAGAAGGGTTACAAATCTGCCCTTAGTTAGGTCTGCGAAAAGTTTACTTAGCTCGGATTTTAAGAAATCTGAAACCACCTTCATTATCTTATATAAGGGTATACAGGGTTACCTTCATGATGAATTAGCTCAGATTTTAAGAAATGTGAAACCACCTTCATTATCTTATATAAGGGTATGCAGGGTTACCTTCATGATGAATTAGTAGATAAAAAATTAAATTACTATTTTATCATTATGATTTTAAAGTTTTTGCCATTTTCAAATTCAGCTGAAACTGTAAACTTCTTTCTTTCTTTGTCAAATCATTAAATAAGCCATTTAAAGACCACAATCAAGGCAGAATACTTGATCTAAACTATTTGAAGAGATTCAAGTCGTCTGTACAGTCTCATTCTTTGTAGGGAACCCTGTAGGTTATTAGTAACCCTTGTAAAGCAAGAATAGAATATTATTTTTCACAAGTTAATTTTACTACAAAAATACAAAAACTTTAAAATTTAGAAATCCACAAAAAATAAACAAAGCTAAAATATTTCTTTAAACAAAAAACTATAATGAAAATATCGTGGCCAGAATCTTTTTTAACCATGGAGACTTTTTAGTTTTATATATTTCTAAATTCTCAAGTTCGAACTTTTTTTTGACGAAAAAACTATATAAGTGATAAAGACCACAAAACATATCAGTGTAATATGTTACTCAGTTAACAATCAGTGTAATATGCTGCTCAGTTAACATGTCAGTGTAATATGCTGCTCAGTTAACTTATCAGTGTAATATGCTGCTCAGTTAACATATCAGAGTAATATGCTGCTCAGTTAACATATCAGTGTAATATGCTGCTCAGTTAACATATCAGAGCAATATGCTGCTTAGTTAACATATCAGAGTAATATGCTGCTCAGTTAACATATCAGAGTAATATGCTGCTCAGTTAACAATCAGTGTAATATGCTGCTCAGTTAACATATCAGTGTAATATGCTTCTCAGTTAACATATCAGTGTAATATGCTGCCCAGTTAACAAATCAGTGTAATATGCTGCTCAGTTAACATATCAGTGTAATTTGCTGCTCAGTTAACATATCAGTGTAATATGCTGCTCAGTTAACAAATCAGTGTAATATGCTGCTCAGTTAACATATCAGTGTAATATGCTGCTCAGTTAACATATCAGTGTAATATGCTGCTCAGTTAACATATCAGTGTCTGTGTAATATTCTGTTGAGTCAACATATCATTAATGTCCTCAGTTCTGGTGTAAACAAGGTTTATTTTATTCTAAGGTCGAAACTTTTGTGTAGAGCATCGTTAATCTTGAATGCTTAATCTTGATATTCAATGTGGGCACTGTTATATTTGAAGAGAAATGCCTTAATTTAAGTTATACCCTGTAATTGGTATGAATAGCACACGCTGATTAAACAGTTCGGGGCTTTATCCCACCAATCCTTCACAATTTGACCCGTTAAACATATTTTTTTAGTCCATGGAATCGTTTCAAAGACACAGACCAAAGCATGATTAAGAAGTTATACAAGGTGACCACGGGATATCATAGAGTAATTAAATTAATCCGTAGGACAAGCAGATCAATGCTTGATACAAGAACAATACAAAAGTTCTGATTTGTAACACTGATAATTATAGTGTTTTTGAGTTTTATCTGTAAGATAGCAATGTGTTCTTGTTATCTAACAGGTTGTCTCTGTGCGTATCAAAATTATAGATATTTCTCTCAAAACTTAATCATTCAAGTATTTTGTTAGTCTATAATGAAAACCTTTTAGTTATTTCTTACCTTTTGCTAATGTCAAAATTACATATTATCTGTTCATGTTCATTATGTCAATATTATATCTGTTTACGTTCATGTCAATATTACATATTATCTGTTAATATTCATCATGTCAAGATTTTATCAAAGAAATATTTGGTGCCCATTTTTAGGTTTTAAATTTTCAGAGGGCGATAATTAATATCATCAGATTTATGTGAAAACCGTCAACCCTTATTCTATAAAACTGTTATTTTCGCAATGTATTTCTAAAAGATTATTTCTGTCAATCTAAAGCATTTATCATTCTAAATCTTCCAGAAAAGTTCTAACTTGGCAAATGCATTTTTCTTCTTTCTTCTTGTATTTAAACTTACACAGCTAGCATAATAAATAGAAACAGTAACATTTCTCCAGGGATGTTACAAATTTGTAAAACAAATAATCTATCCTGGTTCTAGTGTTATTTACGACTACGAGTTTGACCAAGAAGTATATTTTTTGGGGGAATTTTGTTCAATGGCTAAAAATTAAAAAATCATGTATCCAGTTGTTTTGTAATATTTATTCTTAAAATTCATAATTTAATTTATTCTGTTGTTCAATACGTTTTATGTTAGTTTAAGACGCCTGTTTGCTTCCCTATATTTACTTAAAATGTTTTTATTGTTAGTTTAAGACATCTGCTTGCTTCCCTATATTTACTTTAAATGTTTTTATGTTAGTTCAAGACACCTGTTTATTCCCTTTATTTACTTAAAATGTTTTTATGTTAGTTTAAGACACCTGTTTTCTTCTCTATATTTACTTAAAATGTTTTTATGTTAGTTTAAGACACCTGTTTATTCCCTATATTTACTTTAAATGTAAAATGTTAGTTTAAGACACCTGTTTATTCCCTATATTTACTTTAAATGTTTTTATTGTTAGTTTAAGACACCTGTTTATTCCCTATATTTACTTTAAATGTTTTTATGTTAGTTCAAGACACCTGTTTTCTTCCCTATATTTACTTAAAATGTTTTTATGTTAGTTCAAGACACCTGTTTATTCCCTTTATTTACTTAAAATGTTTTTATGTTAGTTTAAGACATCTGCTTGCTTCCCTATATTTACTTTAAATGTTTTTATTGTTAGTTTAAGACACCTGTTTATTCCCTATATTTACTTAAAATGTTTTTATGTTAGTTCAAGACACCTGTTTATTCCCTTTATTTACTTAAAATGTTTTTATGTTAGTTTAAGACACCTGTTTTCTTCTCTATATTTACTTAGACACCTGTTTTCTTCAGATATACTTTTCATAAATTCAATTCAAACTCTTTAAAAAGACAATTTCTTGATACAATATTGATAGTTTAAGTTCACTATTTAACCCTTGAAACTCTGATGTTGTAAAATGTACGAATGGTATACATATTATGTATATATTCTGTAAACCTTAAACTATATGTTCATGAAAAAGTTAGAAACATTTAAGACTTTTTCCTTGTTTTGAAATTCTAAAACAACATCTTTTTGTACAATAGTAAAAACGCACGAAGTATTCCTTATTTTTATTATTAAAATAACACAACCAAAGCGTTACCTAACATAAACAAAAAGCAGAAAAAATATATTTTAAATGCTGCAAAAGTTTTTGAACTATTCGCACTAAAATAATGCACTGATTTGGACCAGCTTACATGATAAATACAATTTTAATGTTTTGTTGAGCTGAGATGAATCAGGTTTTTAACCACAAAATTGTATGGACGTGATCAGTGATTATTCGCCTGAAACTCAAAATTTCAAATACCTAATTTGATCTTAAAAACTTTGGCTTTTTGACCTAAAAGTATTCATGCATAGTTTGAAATTTAACTATGCTTGTTTCAAAGATATACTTTGAAAATTATAGTATTAGAAGATTAATCAGTTCCTTTTAATCAGTAATTCAGAAAGGTGGTTAAAAATCAACTTGGTGGCTTAGATAAAGGATTTGAACCAGTTTTACCTGGTTCAACTTCCTCTCTCTTTCATAAGTTCCCAATTTTGTATCATTTAATGTGCGTGATAAATAAGTTCTGTATAATCTCTCATATATAAAGGCTTATTTCTACGTTTAGTTCTGTTCTATATTGTATTATCATTATGAATGTATTTTAAAGACCGAACTGAAACTATTTCAGTATAAAAACCCACAATGCTCTATTTCAAGACATATTAATAATAGGATAATTTAAAAAAAATTGTGCATTCCAGCCCAATCCTGTTTTTGCTGTTGTTAAACATAGTAATAATCATTCTCTAGGTTTAAGATATGTCCCTGAATTCCAAAATTGAGGGTTTTATGTGTTTTTTGTTTTTTCCCCCTGCAAATACAATCTTTAAGGACCTAGTATCTATTAAAATTAAGAAAAGAATAAGATTACTCACCTTAATCCTTAACTTTTAATTTACTAATAAAGCCGTTAATAAGGATATGTCATTCTAGATCAGTCAAAATGTTAAAGGGATACTGTTGTGATACGCCTACTGTCCTTTTAAGTATTGCACTAATCTAAATTGCAGTTGATTACTTTATTTATTTCATAATTTACCAAGTTTGGCTAATTAATTGAATATAAATCTATTCTATAAGGCCGGAATCTATACATCTATAAGGCCGGAATCTATAAAAATAAACGGAAGTAAATATTTTTCTATTTGACGAAGAGGAAATTTGTAAAAGTCATTTTCTTTATAATATTTTGTCCACAGAATTATTATATTGTTACTGGTCTATAAGATTGTGCACAACAAGAAATAATTACATTATTGACCACTTCTTCAGATCTCTTGGACACTATCATTAATCTTCTCTTCCCCCCCCCCCCGTACTTGTTGATCTTTTCATACACGTTTCATCCCTTCATACACGTTTTAATCCCTTCATACACGTTTTCATCTCTTCATACACGTTTTCATAAAAAATCCTTTTTTGTTAAATTTCATCCTTCATTCCTTTCTCTTACCAATGGTGTTTGTTTCAGTGTATGATAGGTATTTCATGTTGTTTATAAAGGATAATTTATCAAGATACAAGAACACAAAAATACCATTTGTGAAAATGTACTTGGTACAGTCTATTGACCAATATATGTATTCTGTATTCTATATATGTATTGTTTAATGTGCACAAGATTTAACAAGAAGGCAAATATGGTTTGGATAGCAGTTATATGGAAGGTGTTGGTACTTTCCCGAACATTTGGGAAGTTGCCACTTGGGAGGGAGAATACACTTGGGTTGTTTCTGCTCGGGAGAATACCCTTGGGTTGTTTCTGCTCGGGAAAACCTTTGCAACAAACCTTTTATTAATTTATCGAATTGAAACAACAATAGTTAAGAAAAAAATGTAAGAAATAACTCTGCAGAAATGAAAGTTTTTACGGGATCTGTAAATGTAAAACTATTAAATGCATAAATTGGTTTTAAAACTCCAATCATCGTTTTTTGGGGATACTCTGCACATATGTTAACCAAATGGTGTAAACCTTTGACTTAATTTCTTTCAAGCAAAATGTATAATCTAAATTATTTCAATCAAATTTTTATATTTCATCATTTATAATTGGAGTTTACTTTTTGTAATTAAAACATGCATATATGCATACTATGTTAAATTTGTGAACAACGTAAATTGTATATTGCACAATCCAAAATTAGAGTTGTTTTAGCATTAAAGCGTTTAAAATTATGAAATAGCAGTCTATTATTGTTAAAAATGTTATCTATCAAATGTATGTATTAACTGTAAAAAATCATAAAAAATATCCGTTGTATGAATGTTTTATATTTGGAATAAAATGTATGATGTGAACGTTCACTTGTCGTCCCTCTATCCACGAAGAATGGGGGGATTTCATCCTCTCCTGATTTACAAATATGTAAGAATGAGGGAGATATCGTCGGTTTTCTCTTCGGATCCGTGGGGGGATGGGGGCAGGAGTGCTATTGTTTCTGCATTTAATGAAGACAGGACAAGGATTTAACTTTTAAAATTTTCTTTCATGAATATCTGAAAAATGACAAAAGGAGAACAAAATAGTGTATATCACTCTCAACTAAGCTTCCGGTGTAAACTGCAGTGATTAGCACCAAGGCCTACACCCTTCAGTACGCCCCTTAACTTTTATTATTACTATGCATCTTCTAATTCAGATTTTAATTTTGAGCATCCATAAACCTTACCTGGGGTCATGTGAGGTCCCCAACACCAAATTTTGGCCGAATCGGTTCGGCCATTTTGACGATTATTATTATTAGTAGTATTATCGTTATCGTTAGCGTGATCGTTATCGGTTATCGGTTATCGTTATCGTTATCGTTATCGTTATCGTTATTATATTATTATTATTATTATTATTATTATTATTATTATTATTATTATTATTATTATTATTATTATTATTATTATTATTAAATCCAATAATTCGTTTTTTTCACTAGCTCACAGCACGAGCTGGTTGTCTGTTTATTTATTGTTTATTTTGTTGGAATAGAAAGGTTACGGAGTACATTTAAAGTGTACACTGTCTGCATATGAAAGCAGCTGACCTGTGTATACCTTATGCAGTAGCAATGAAGACGTGATAGAAAGACCGTACGAACTAGAGTGTAGAATAAAAGGTTTGTAGAAAACTAGTATAAGTATGTTAAAACTATAATCTTCAACCTTCTTGAATAGAATTCTCTATTCAAGAGTTAGAGTACTCTGACAGGGTCGGATATTAGAATATTTTATCTATTGAGTTCGGTCTGTGGACTTCTGTCAGAGGCGGACTAAGATGATCGACATCCCCCCCTGGAAAATTGGGGGACAGCCCTAGGGGTGGATCCACCTCTTTGAAAAGGGGGGGGGGG